AGCCATGTTTGGTAAGCCAGAAAGCAGCACTCATCCATGGCTTCTGCCTCAGTTCCTGCCTCCAGCTCCCTGCCTTGATTGAATCCCTGTCCTGACTTCCTTCAATGATGAGCAGTGATATGGAAATTTGTGCTGAATAAATCCTTTCCTCTCCAACTTGCTTTTTGGTTGCAGCAATAGAAACCCTAAGACAATAGGACCTCATTGTCACAGAGTTCAGTTCCACAGTGATTCTCAAGAGAGGAAAAGGTATAATCCCAACCAGCTCTAACTCAAACACAGGGACCCTGGAAAGCATCCTCTGATGTTTTCCAAAGCCCAACCCCAGCCTGTGAAAGCCACTGTCAATGTGAGGTGCAGTTACTATTATCAGTTTGTCACATCTCTCACTTACAACTGAGTAATTGAAAGGTTACAAATAACTGCAGGCGTCCTTTGGTGATCTAGGCTGTAGTGTTCAGGAAAACCTAACTAAATCTCCCCGTGATTATTTAAGGCTAGTTGCTTGTGCTTTGCCTGGCGCCCCACTGTCAGACGTGTCTTTTTTTGTGATAAAGAAACAGTGAGTCAGAATGTAGGACAAATCTAAGACTGTTGTCTTACATTGCTTTTTTCTAGACAGATAATTTCTTACTTTTTTAATTCTGGAAAACTTGCAGCTGCCTGGCACAGAACATCAGCCCCCAAGTAGGACAAATGGGTGAGATACAAGGGTATGTAATAAAAGGTCAGGGTTTGATGAACCTGTTTTTATTATATTTCCATACAAAATATTAGAATTGGGCCTTTTGCATATTAAGCATTTGGCTTATTGGTAATTATTATTCTTTTACCTCACATTTAGAAAACCTAGTATTATGAATAAAACTAATTTGAGGCTGCTGAGCAACCATTGCTGTTCAAATTCTTTTTCCTCAGCAGCACAACAAATAACACCCTTTAGGACAAATTTCCTCCCACGGGCTTAAAAATTTGTCCTGATGAACTAAACAACAACAATTTGACAGTGACGACATTTAAATCATGCACTTTAGTGCAATTCCCAGGGCTGGAGAAGCCAGGGCACTGTGATTGAAGCAGTGGATTGAATCTCTGTGGCCAGATGGCAGTTGGAATATAATGAGCTTATAGCTGTCAGCCACAGCTAGAAGCTTTAATGCAAAGGGTGAGCTAGCTTTTCAGCGATGGAAAATGGAAAGCTGGGTGGGTACTTAAAATACTTGCATTGTTCTTACTGACTCATAAAGAGTGAGAGAAAATGCTCTCTGTCACATTCTCTTTGGATGAAGGTTTGCAAGCATACCTCATGCATCATGATGCTATTGATAATGTTTGTATATATACACTGTGTTTGGAAAGATCCAGATTATAGTTCTTGAGCTGTGATGTTTACATCACTCTGCTCTGGTGGTTCATGAGAAACACAACCAGGAAGACAAGCTTTCCCTGTCTCCTGAGCTTTTCAGCATGGGGTTTCTAAATTTTCTCTAATCACTGACCTCATTTTTCTGGTTATGCTGTATGTCACAATTGGTTTGGGGCAAAATCCCTTCAAATTTTCTATTCTCTGCTAGAATAGCCTGGAAATAATATAGCTCTTGATGGGATGAAGCTGTTTTCCATGTTTCTGTGAGTTCTGTTAGAGAATGCATCTGGAGCCACTCAACCATGCTCAGTGTTTTAAAATGCCAGAATGAGGGTATCAGAAGAGACCCTTGAGGAAGGAGAGATGACATTCTCTGTGCTCTGCTTATACAAACTTGGGAAGAACATATCTGGCAACATATTTATCCTGATAAACATGATGATAGGGAACAGTATGTTTAAGCAGTGGCTGCATGTATTTACTGGCACATCTATATATAGGTTGTCAGGCTGCATAAAAGGGGCCATAACAGAATATAGTCTCAGGCAGTGAGTTATGTAATGAGATCAATCCTGTGAAAATCTGGCATCCAGATGCAGCTTTACTGACAGCTCGAAGAGTCAGCTCATCCACCCAAGTTAGGGATACATACATTTCCTTTTGGCCACTGTTCATGACATTACATTGTTATCTCCTTCAGCTGTTCAATGAGCCCCTGGAAAGATGAATAAAATGCATTAAGATAGAAGGAGAAGGAGAAAGGCCTCAGGCTAATGAGTTGATGGCTGGAAAACTCAAGATTTTTATGCAGGTAGATTTCCCAAATAGAAAAGAACCACAGAGTCTTGGACCATTCAGAAATAAATATGCTGTTTTGAGCTTGTGATATTTGCAAAAACTCTATAGCATTGTAACTCTCATTCTCATAAATATAGGACAGTAGTCTTTATAAAGGCCTGAAACATCATTCCAGTGAAGGTAATATAAAAAAAAAAAACAAACTGGTGAAGCAGGGATTGCTTAAGTGAAAGTGAGTAGGTTTTCCATCACTTTAGTTTCACAAGTTGACACTATTAAGGCTAATATATAGATGCCTGCCAGCACAGTTACCATTAAGAACCTATCAGTATTTCCATTATAAATCTCATTTTTCAGGGGTTAATAACTTGGTCATAAAAATTCACTGCAGGCTGAAATCAAGTCTTGAAAGGAAATATTTTTCCTTAATCCTGACACAAAAACTTACTCCTGTTCCAGAGACTAAGATGATCTAAACCCAGAAAACATAGGTTATGCATCTCAGGGTGTTCCAAAGAAATAAAATCAATAGGCTGTGTGGAATCATATAGCAGGATATCCATTAGGAATCTGCTCCCATCATTGTGAAGGGTAAGTCTTGTGTCTGCTAACTGGGGGCCAGGAAAACTAACTATATTGTTTCAGTTCCAAAGCAATACCTTAGAACAAGGGGAGAGGATGGGGGTCGAATTCGAAGGCCACATGGATCCCAAAGCAGGAAGTGGCTGATGCTCCAGTTTAAGCACTGAAAGTAACCTCGCCATTCTTCATCCTTTTCTTGAATCTTGCCTTACCCGTCCGTACTGGTGAGTGTGAACTCTTTAGCTCAGTCAACCTGCTCAAATGCTGATCTGTGGTGATATCTTGCTCATACAAATAAAGCCTATCTGAAGGTGAGAGAATGGAGCCCACCACTAGCTAACCATAGAGGTCTGGAGGTCTGTACAGACAGACAGGAAGTAGCTAGCTGGGCGGAAACAGGATATAAGCAGGGAGAAACAGGAACTCCCTGTCTTGTCCGCTGAGACGCCAAGTAGGTAAGGTGTGCTGTGGCTTGCTCCTTCTCTCTGATCTCTCAGCATTTCCCTCTATATCTGACTCCTGGTTTTTTATTACTTTGACCAATTAAGAACTCTATTTACACAGATCTGTCTTAGGACTACCCTCAAAGCTATATCCAGATAATATTTTACCTGCTATTCTAGCGTGCTTTACCCAGTGGAGTTGACACTCCTCCTCTTTCACATACTCTGGTTTTTCTCTCCCTGCATCTCAACTTCATCATGACTTGTTTTCCTTGCTAAGTGGTGTCATCCTAAGTGAAATTCAATTTTTCTCATATAACATTTTAACTTTTCTCAGTGGAGAATGAGCAAACATGTTCTATGTGCAGGTCAGAGCTGCATGCATTGCTACGGAGATGAGCCATTTTTCCTTCTGTCACTAAAACCTGCACAGTACTAATATACTGTAAGTATATTTATGGTTAGTTCTTTCCATTAGGGAAGCTTCAAGGTATGGCTCCAGGGAGGAAACCGACTAAGCTATATTCTTGTTGAGTAGCCAGCAGAATGTGACAGACTTGTCTTAGAGCTACCAGTGTATAGTTTGCTCCCTGATTGCTGTGACACCATGACCAAAAGCAACCTGGGGAGGAAAGGGTTTATTTCAGTTTACAGGTTGCAGTCGATGGTCAAGGGGATCAAGGGAGAAAATGAAAGGCAAAGGCTTAAGGTAAAAGCCCGGAATGAAGGTTGCTTGGCCCCTGACTTGTTCCTCTACTCCTCTCATGGCTATGGCTCTTAGACTTCCAGGATTGGGGCCTTCTACATTGTCAATTAACAATTAGGAACACACCTCACTGATCCGGCCCCGGGGCCAATCTTATCCAGGCAATTCTTCAAATGAGGTTCCCTTTTCCTAGGTGACTCTTGGCTTGTGTCAAATTGACAGCTGAAGAAAACGATGTCAGTAACTGGGATTCTGCTCATATTTATACTGCTGCATATGTCAATAGAGTGGACCTAGCAAACGCTTTCAAAAATACCTTTTCTTTTAAAATACATTCCCATTCCCCTTTTCTCCATCTAGCCACTCCCAAGCATCCCTTCCTATGCCCCTCTACTCTCAGATTGGTAATCTGTTTTTTCTTCAATTATGATTGTCACATAAATATGCATACATATACACAAATATGTAAATACAACCCACTGAACCCATTTTTGTTATTTGTGTGTATATAGTTTCAGGGCTGATCGCGTCATATTGTAAGTATGGGAGAAGTAGACCCTCCCTCTCCCGGAAGGTTTTTGTCTGAAGGTTGGACCCCATGAAACTTTTTTCCACATTGATTGTTACCTATTAATATTGCCACTGTCCTGGACTTGTTTGTGCAGCCATTTCTAGGAGGGACTGCTTTCACAGCAGACTTTCCGGCATTCTTGCTCTTAATAAACTTTCCACCCTCTCTCCCGTGTTGTTCCTCAGTAAGAATTTATATGATTAAAAAACCTGTATTACCTGCAACTTTTAACATATAGTCTAATATTTTAAGCTCCTCACTCACTGGGCAGATATTGGTGGTTAACAGCTTTTTTTTTTTTTAACCTTTTAACCTATTTTTTTTTCCCTGCAATTCTGCAATGTTTCAAGTTCTACTTTTGTGTTTGCTGGGGAGGAAGGAGCAACTGTCAACCTTCTCTACGTCTTAGACTAGTGAACTTTGCAAAATGTCATGGAACTACCTTCCAGGGGAGCTTAAGAAATTGAATAAAAGAGGGAGGAAAACCCACCATTTTTTTTTTTTTTGAGAATAGAAACACTATTTACTCACACAAACACTTGATAGGTTTTGGTTTGTTTGTTTTAGATTTTTGAGACAGGGGTCACACTATGTAGCCCAGGCTAGCCTTGAAATTGCCCAAGTAGCCCCCTATACTTGTGATCCACCTGCTTTTGCCTCTAGATGGCCTGAAACTCTATTTTTGAGCCATTTCTGTTGAGTAAGAATCCAAGTTGCATATATCAGTGTTATCCAAATTTGACACGATGATGTCTGCACACATAGGAAACAGCTTAAGTCCTCTCATACAGCAAAGAGTTCTTGGGATGCCCATACTAAGTTAATGTCTCTTCATGCCGTACATATTCACCAATGTTTGCTTGATGGAACACCACAATTGCCATGGGGTCCACTTTTCTGCAGTCTTGAGTAGACTTTGCTGCCACCCCAAAACCCAAAGGAACGTCTGCCATGGAGTAAACCACTACTCCCTGGTACTGAGAAGTATTTTCAGTGATTCGACCCAGACCATATTTCAACACATGGTTTCCATATAAGAAGGACTGCTCTGCTCCAGGCTTTATACTTAGCCTAGGGTGCAAGGTAATCGAGAGCGGTAACGTGCAACCGGAACTTGTGGGTCTTGGTAAACTTTCCAGAACACGTCCCCAGTGACACTAGCTTATCCCCGGAGATGTTGGCGGCCAGCTTCAGGATCATCTCACTCACAGAGTACACTCGGTCGTTGTGCAGCCGGAAACAGTAGGTGCCGTCGGGCCTGTCCACCAGGAGCTGTAGATTCTCCCCGATGTATTTCGCAATCTTCTCAAACAGCAATCGGGTCTCCTCTTCAGTCAAGGGCCTCATCTTCCCGCTCAACCCACCAAATTTTAACTGTGAGAAATAAGAGCAAGATAATCTGAATTACTCAGGGTAATTCCGATGAATTCCTTGGACGATTACAGACTGATGCCACTTGTTGACTTCTGGAATGCAAATGTTTTAAGTTCCACCTCCATCTTCCTATTGGTGTGCTGGAAGTTTTGTCTGATGTGTTGTGTTCGTGCACGCGCACATGCACCTGTGCGTGCAGGGGTTGATGTTGAGCGTCTTTCTCCGTCACTCTCCACCTTAGGCTTTGAGACAGGAGCTCTCTTCGAACCCAGAGCCCACTTATTCTGCAAAACGACTCACCAGTAGGCTTGGGGTTCTCCTGTCTTGCCTTCCCAGGCCTGGGATTACAGGTACCTATCCCTGCAGGGATTGTATCCTCAGCAAGGACTTTTCTGAGATATCTTCCTGGCCTTTGACCTGTGCATTGTTACTATCTCCTATTAGTAGTTAGATTTCCCTTTTGGCCTGTGTGATGCAGCAGTACTTATTGTTGGTCTGATAGGCACCTTCAGGCTATCCCACCATCTTCAAGTGGTAGACATTGAGGGATCCAGTGTGCCTTGCTGCCCCCTACTGGTGACAAAAGACTCTTACAATTGAGGTTTCAACACAACCTGAGAAGTACCTCTTAAGAGAACTTCCATAAACTCCCCTTTAAAGGGAAATAAATTGTATGTAGTGATTCTTTTGCCTTAGTATTTAGTTTGGGTTTTGAATTGTTTATGCTTTTTTCCTTCATAAACTTGTAAGCAATAGCATCATTTTCTCATGGTCTTTCTCTAAAATGGACACACCCGGCAGGGAGCACAAGACACATTTGTCTACCCCATCCTTTTTAGAAGAATTGAGGAAAATATTTTCTTCCTCTTTACACTGAAAATAATTGATTCTCTATGGTTTTGAGCACAAAATTTTGTCTCTAAATTGAAAACATACGTGTGTGTGTGTGTTAAACAGATAATTCATTTTTTCACTGTTTTGGGGAGCCAAGCACAGCAGATCAAGGCTCAGTTGGGTGGTGTTTGACAAGGACTTTCTGCTTTGCAGATTGCCACCTTTTCACTGTGTCTCTCACACTGTGGAGAGAAAGCTGTCTGTCCCTTCCAGTTATAAGGACATCAACCCTGTTGGTCTTGAGTCCCAACCTTATTACCTCATTTACATCTGATCATCTCCTATGGTCTCTATATTAAACACAGCCATGCTTTAGGTCAGAGCATCAACATATATGAACTTCGTTGGGTTAGAACATCTCATCTGTAACAGAAATAATATGCAAATTTCAATAGTCAGTTTTCCAAGTACCCTCTTGAACTATGCTTTTTAAAAACTTAGATACATTGAGTTAATAGAATGATAAGTATGGTGGTAACTCAGCTGAGAAAGTGGATCCAAAGCCTAGATGGATAGATGATAGATACATAGATGATAGATAGATAGATAGATAGATAGGATAGATGAATGGATAGACAGGTCAGATAGACAAATAGATGGATAGACAGATAGATGATAGACAGACACACAGAAGTCAATATGCTACCTTTCATTACAAAACAAGTTATAGGATATAGCCAGAGAAAGTTTCTATTTATATTAATTATTAATTAAATTATTTATTAATTAATGATTAAATTAATTTATGTTTAGTCTCCACTGGAGGATGATTGAGACTTTATATAAAGAATGTTTTACCCTTGGGAAGGCCCAGATTTAAGAACACATATACAACGTGAATTACAGATTAAGGAGCCTAGTCCAAGAGTCAATGAGGACTTTAAAGTCCTTCTACATTGAAGTGCTATTGTTTAATGTTCCCAGAGTGTCCAGAGAGTACTGGTCTAGAATACAAAACATACATGTGGCCTTTGTTCTTTGTAAGTCCGCAATCAAAGACCATAAGTGCTTTGGTCTGACAGCTTTGGCACTTTCAGAATTTTCTTAAATCACCTCATATTTTCCCACTAGGCTGTCAAGCTGACTAAAGTGGTGGAGTATGTGGTTTTGGGCTGAACCACACCACAAAGAGTCATTGATGTGCAGTTGAACAAAAGCAAAACAAAACAAAAGTTTCCCTCCCTTTGTTTTGTTCTTTCTTTGACTGCCTGTTGGGGACAGAATAATTTACAGAGCATCTCCTGGAGCCTCTAGCCATTTAAGAGTAAAAAAGTTAGAAACAACTGATTAGAAAACCTTGCTATATAATAATTTTGGTGGCTTTCTTTGAATTTCCTTCATTCGTTCTTTCTTCCCCCCCCTTTTTTTTCTGTAAACTTTGGGTGAACAGACCTGGAACCATCATTTCATAGTTATATGTATGGATGTTAAAGGCATACATATCTCTTCCTGTAGACAATGACATTCCACCATGGGAAGTGGCCTTGTTTCTAATTATACGATGCCCAATCACATAAATGCTTTGATGAAGAGCTATAGAAAATGTTGTCCCTGTAAAAATAAGCCCTTAAGTGAAAGTGGAATCTGAACCATCAAAAGGTAAAAGGCATACACCTAAAATACCATCATTCTGGAGCTTGATTCAGGAGGACAGCCTGGAGTTTGAAACCAGCCTGGACTTCAGAGTGAGACCTGTCTCAAAAAGAAAAGAAAGAAAACAATGATAATAATTCTATTACAATGCTAACCATGTTCCTTTTTTGTGTAGTTTCTGGTCTGAAGGAAAGAAAGTGTGGCTGTCAAAATTTGTCTTTGTCTTTTATCTAGAGATCAGTTTCCTTCCTTCTGGACCTGATTTGGGCCTGGGTAACTCTTCTGCTCTTCTATTGAGCTCTCTCCGCCACTTTCCCCCATTAACCAAAGGAAAACAGTGTTTGTTACTAGTCTTCTACAATGTGGTAAGAATTTAAGTTGTGGTGTTATCTCTCCTCAGGGGATCTATATTTTTGGATTTATCCATAATTCTAGAATAAATGCCTTATTTTATTTTATTTTATTTATATTTATATTTTTGTAAAAGAAACCTTAGACATGAGCATAGAAAACAACAGTTTCAGAAGTCAGGAGGACTTTCCATTGTTGTTGAAATCATTCAGAGGACCAGTTATCTTCTTTGAGAAGATTGGTACTCAAACTGTTTCTGTAAATTTAAGGGTAGAACTATAAGGAAGAAGCCAGTTGGTAGGTGTTTAGGAGGTCAAGGAAATCAAACTAATTTACAGGTGGTCTCTTGTATGCCAGGTAGCATGAAGGTGTTTTTACATTTTCTTAGCTAGGTTAAGTTGCCAACAATACTGTTCACAGTAGAAGAGATAACATTTTAGAGGGTAAAGGTTTCCAAAACTTTTTCGGCTAATGAAAGGTGAAGTCTGATTTCTCTGATGTCAGTGTAGGGTGGAACTGCAGTTAGATGCATGGCTGCATTTGCTCTATTCAAAACTTGCTTGGAACATTTTGAATGAATGTGCTCTATTCATGGGTGCAGTGTGACTTTTGCTGGGCTTTAGATGGTAGAATGAAGATGAATTGCTTTTAGAAATGCCTTTATTCATATATGTGTTCGAAATGGTCAGTGTAAGGGCATGAAAAGGTTATTAGAGAGGAAAGATGCAAAAATATTCAAGAGCTGCCTCATGCCAGCTGTTTATATTACTCTTCAAGTAGCCTCTGTGTATGAATATTTCTGCATTATTTCAGAATCATCCAGGTGAAGTCAAGCCAATCAATTTTATTGTTAAGCTCAAAAGTCAGGACAGCTCTAGACACTAACAATTTGAAAGTATGGCTGTCACATTGCTCTATATCCAGAATATGTGGTTAGTCTGTTAGAGTTAATGAGGCTAATTTTCTATTTACTCTGAATTAGATTATTCTACAGCTTTACTTAAGATTGTGACAGAGTACTTTTCTGAAATGATTAAGTCCACTTTTTTTAATCTATTGAGAAATAAAGAGAAAATTGGGTAGCAAATAGAAACTATTTAATAACTCTTTGCAAGATACAAACTGACTTAGTGGCTTGTTAAGCAGGATCTTTTCTTTCAAAGGAAACATGTAGATTATTCTGAGATCTAAACAGTAAACTTACCTGAGCAACATAGTGCAGGAAATACAAACAAATCTTTCCAGTCAATTCTCTCTGTATGAATCAGGACTGGCTAGAAATCCCATTTTTCGTGTGTGTGTGTGTGTGTGTGTGTGTGTGTTAGAAATAGTTTGTATTCCAATCCAACAAAAGGTAAATATATACAAATGTCTTCCTGAACTCTTTCAGAACCTAACCCTAAATCAAAATGATTAATCACAATAAATCCTGTTCATTTAAAATTTATTTTCTATGGACTTATATTTTAGGATGATTTTTGGCTAACTTTCCTATACATTAGACATATCAATCTATAAAACATTAAGAAATACATTGTTAACTAAATTATTCAGTCTAACATGAAGCTTACACAGTCTTTTTGCCCATTTGACCTCTGTTTCACATAGTCCTTTCTCCTTACAACTTACATGACCGGACTGAAGACATAAGGAACATAAGACTACTCCGTACTGATTCTATCCTTTGATGCAAGGGCAGAATAGGGTGAAATGGATGTATAATTGGTGCTGTGTTCTTAAAGGGTCCTGAGTCTGCATTCTGTAGCAGAATTCTAGAGACCAGAGTGACTTATAAACAACAGCTTCATTACTCCCGTTTGGGAGTCTAGGGAGGTCAAGAGTGATGTGCCCACAGAGCCTGTGTCTCACAGGAATCTGCTTTGTGCTTTGTAGATACATTCTTCTCATTGTGTCCACTCCTGGTGGAAGGGGTGAGAGATCCCAGTGGAGTGTCTTTCATAGTGACACTGACCAGATCCACTCTCACAGATTTTTATTTTATAGTATGTATCAACTTGAGGGTTAATATTTCATCCCATGAATTTTGGGAAGAGGCTGACCCATAACAGGCTCCTTCATATTGACTATTTCTAATTCCAAGTGAACATAAATGAATTGAGGCTGTTCTAGTCAAATTT